AAAAAGCAGAGGGAAGCACCATTTCTCATCCAAAGTCTGCATCTAGCAGAATATTTCTTTTTTGAGTCTTCAAATCTGTCTTCCCCCCCCCCCTTTCTCTCCTGCTGAGATTGTCGGAACAAGGCACAGTCAGAGCAATCACAGCAATCAGTGTTTCCTCATGCCAAGTCGATTTTGGGATGTAGCTGCCACAACAAAAGGCTGTGCGTCCAGCCATTACGATGGTGTGTGATTTGGTGGTGGTGGGAAACGGTCGCTTGGACCATCTGTGAAACGTCTGGAGGAGGAAAACAACAGCATCTTGTGGCAGGACTGTAGATAGGACAGCTCCACCCGGACACACCACGGCCCGTGATCTTATCGGCCATTTGGATAGCTGTCTGATAACACGGGTTTATCTGAAAACAAGCGCGGCCATGGACTGCACATGGTCTTTTAATCTACTTGTAAGTGTCCACACAGCCCACTCTGGGGTTTTAGTTTTTCAAAGTTCAACAGAACAGGCTTATGACGACATCCGATAGCCTCAGCAGATGGGTGGCAGAGTTCAGGTGGTTAGTTTTAGCAGCAGGATTTACTGGTTAAAGGATTTTTCACAGGAAACTAGAAAGAACAGCTATTGCCAACATACCCTGGAGTAGGTGTCTGAATTGGATCTGGCCTTTGTCAGCAAGAGCAACAACAGTCCTCATTCCCTCTGCCATACCCTCACATTATTTTCCTCTATCGTTTCCTCTGTCAGCTCATCTCCAGGTGCTGTAACGGTCTCAAATGGTTCCCTAGAGATTTCTTTACCCACATGTCCTAGTCCCCACTGATAGCTCAAATCACCCCTTGAATGATTTATAACACTCCTAAACTGAGACACACAGTTGGGTGTTAAACAGGCAACTTCTGCAACTTCTGTAAGGGCATCTACAGAATCATTCATTTTGGGAAATTATTCCAAAATGTCGAGATGCTCGATTGCCTCTGGAGTCACATGGAAAACGACTAGAGCCGTCACTTCTAGTCTTGTAAGGCATTCGCACGTCTTGCCACAACGGTGGTTTAACATTTAGTTTTATGGTTTGGAACACCATCGGACTGTGCTGTTGCCACACACACACACACACACGCACGCACGCACGCACGCACGCACGCACACACACACACACACACACACACACACACACACACAGAAGAACTTAGCAGTGTTATGTATGGTTTCATCTCTCTGTATAGGCCATAATCACCCTCTCTCCATCTCAGTAAGCTCATACTAAATGACCAGACGTCTCTGGCGGCTGCCATGATTTGTCTCTTCGCCGTGCATCGGGCCGTGCCTCACCCTCCCCTCTCTCCATCTCCTCCCTCCTTCCTTGCCACCATATGTTGCGCCTGTGTGACCGGCCCACGTGTCAGACCTGACTAACGCCTTAATGGCAAGGCTGACTTTGATTTATTTCCTCTGAAATCTGGGGGCTGAGGGTAATAACACAGAATGACATTATTTGTTTATCAAATCCAAGGCTGCTTTTCCTGGCAGAGTCAAGATGCTGATGACTTGATACCAACACCCCAGTTGCCATACAGGAATATACCCCCTGATTGTTAGAGTGGGCCATTGTTTAAGGGTTAGTTTGCTGCCTAACCTCATCCTTGTGAATGCATTTAAAATAACAATAGCAATAAAGACTTTGGCTAGCCTGGAAAGCTATGCTACACATGTAAAAACATAGTATGACCTATCGATAGATCTCAGTCGTAGGGCGGAATCTAAAGTTGTCGTTCAGACAGTGTCTGCCCCTGTGTCCTGGATTTCTAGGCTCGATATTGGCGTGACTTTAGCCGCATTCACAAAACACCTTCAAGACTTCTTCTCATGTTAGTGCGATTTATATGAAAACTGCATTGGGTCAGCTCACCATTGTCAGGCCTATGAGCTGTGGACAGGTATGTGTAAGAGTACGCCAGCATTCCTTGACGGTATGCTGTAGTGACGACAGATGGTGCGAGTGACATATATGCTGCAAGAGTTAGAACACATTTAGGATGCCAGTGTCAACACCACTAGGGTATATGTTGCACGGTTCTAGGTTCTACAACAGAGATTTCATTTCTGGAAGCACGCATCGCCATGGATTGTGGCTGATCTGACTGGTGCTGATGACTTTAGAGGGGTTAGTCATTGCTTACCATACTTGGGAAAAATGTCTGTCAAACCCACCGTGCATTGTTCAAAGTGAGGCAACTGTTCTGCATGTTTGTCACAGGTTCTGAATTAGAAGACAGCAAAAGGGATGTTGTGTTTGATCAAACCAGAGTAGTCAGCCACCACTTGTACACTTTAGGTTCATTCCAACACATAAATGATGCAGAGCTTCTCCCTTAAAAACTGTTAATATTTGATCCTTTGGTATTAGCTCAATAGCCGGAAACCCTTAAGAGGCAGAATGTGGGTCTGATTTGGCTTTTTTCTTTCATTGTCCTGTAGGGAGTGTTTGCTAGAAGCATCACCTTCACCTTTCGTTATCAGCTCTGTGAATAGTATCTCCTAGGACACAATGTGGAGCAGTAGAACACAATAAAAGAGCAAAAGGCAAGGACAATCTGGAAGACCGCTTGGCTGATAACAAAAGGGCTTCACCTAATAATGAACAACGGGGTTAGGTTTCTTTTAACCGATGTGGGGACTATTGGCTGTTGTGTGAGTGTCTGTGGTGGGAGGGGTACTGCCAGCTCATGCTTGTGTGTTTTATGGCTAATTGAGGCATTAGAAATAAAACGGCTTCAAAATGGCACCCTTTAGAATTGGAGCAGGGTTAATATATAGCGATCCCACAATTAGCCCGGGATTGTTAAGATCTCTTTAATTCTGTGAGGTCCATTAAGCGGAATGGCCGAGAAAAGTGCCTCCACTGATACAATTTTTCTCTCCTCCCTTTGTCCGTCCTTTCCTCCTTTCCCTCTCAGCAGCTGCTGTGGTGATCAATATGAATGAACATGGTCCTCTGCTGGTTGCCATTTCAGTGCCAAAGCTTCTGAGAGGCCACCACGTTTTTTTATCTTCCTTTGCATATTTTCAAGAAGCATATCATTTATTGGTAGCAGACTGGCGGTGTGGTCCCTAAGCTGGCGTGGAAGCTTGCCCTACTAGGTGGAAGTATTAGATCATTCGTCTCTCTTGGGTAGAAACAATCACTAAGGTTAGCTCTTTACCCCAGTTTCCTAAATTCCCACTTGGCCGTACGAGTGCCTCTACTCGAGCCACAGCAGATGATCACGACTGGTTTTACAAGTGTCGCTCTCAGAACTCGACTCCCCTCTGAGTTATCTTTTGGGATACACTCCGCCTGTGGGAGCTTGCCAGTCGGTGTAGGTACCTGAAACAGGATTCAGCTCACTACATTTGAGCAGTCTGCGACCTAAAAAAAAAAAAAAAGACAGAGTCCTTTATAAACCGTGACATAATGATGGTTGCTCAGCCCAGCTTTTAACGCAACTCTCATCACACCGTGGCATGGACTACACATTTTACAGAATTTAGATTCATGGGTTTAAGGAGGATGAAAGCAGTGGATAAAGCTGCACCTAAACACCACATTGATTGGATGGTTGATGAGTATGGACTAAACAGATGGCTGCCTCATTAAAGACTCATTTGCGATCATCTAAAAGGGTCCTAAATTTCAATTCCTCATGCTTGGATCTATGTTTGGGCTAAACAGAAGCTCCAGCTTTATCAGCAGCTAATACCAACTTGCTCAGGTGATGATTCGGGAAGCTTGAGGATGGCGAGCATTTCAATAGCACTAAGGTTCCAGCACAGTGGATTTTAAAGCTTTCTGCAAGTAATTAAACAGCATGCCACCTCATTCAGAGTAATTTCCTGCACGGCATTAGCTTGCCAGTGCTGCATGGCCCCAGCCTACACCGTGTTATCTATGTGAAATATGTCCCCTTCATCATTTTTTTTAATAATAACAGTGTTTATGTTGGTAGGAGAATTTCTACTCACTGAACATCAAATAAAAATTTTCCTCACTGTTAGCTGGCTAACCAAAGGTTAATTCATGTCATTTATAAATGGATAGAATATTGAAACGGCTGCTGAATCTGAAACGCTTTGATAATTATTGATCATGTTGATGGCCACATGCTGTCACCTAGTGACTATAATCCTGACGTGTGCATAAAGATCTGACCACAGAACACCCCAGGGCAGAAAACACTGTTCATCTACAAGTCCCAAGAGATTGTTTCACCCTGGAGTGTGCATTTCCTGTTTGAAAAAGCTAAATATGCAGAGCAGTGCACAAACAAAAAAACACACCTCTGTCTTCTCCTGCCACGTTTTTATGTGCCTGCATCTGTACGTCCTCTATTTTCTTGTATTTTTCACTTGCTGCTCATCAATCAATTTCTCACAATTTGTCATCGTGCTTTGTTTCACACATGTCATAAAACCTCCACCACTTAACGGTCTGCAGCAAGAATGGGTTTTATTTACCAGAAAATGTTGATAGAAGCTCCCTGCTTTGAATAACAGCTGCCTAGCTGGCATTTTAAATCACATTTGTGTGGCATTAGCCAGTCGTAACTCCTTATCTGAGGGTTGCTTTCCGGCGTCTTTTGTCGTCAATCATTTGCCCATTTCTGTAGTCGAAGATGGAGCCGAGACTTCATCCCATTGTACATTTTACTATATTAAACCTTTCAATGCCAGAACCCACTCCAAACCACTCTGTCTTCTTCACTAGTCATCAGTCCTGGTAATACACGTTTTGTCAAGCATGCTTAAAGTTTGTTTTCCTGAATAGAGCCAGAATAAAGTAGCTGTTGCACAAAAAAAAAAAACTAAAATCTTCCATCTCTATTAGCAGTAAAAGCTTCTCTGCAACCAACCTCTACTCCAATAATAACAATTAGATGTAAATTATCTCGACTAAAATGCCCTATTTTTCTTGTCTTCTCTCTGTTTTGTCTGTTTCCTCCTTCGTTTTCCCTATCCTAAGAAGATAGATGAAGAAAATGAGGCCAACTTACTGGCAGTGCTTACAGAGACTCTGGACAGCATCCCGGTGGATGAGGACGGATTGCCTTCGTTTGAGGCCTTGGCAGATGGGGACGTGACCAATGCCAGTGACCGGAGCTGTCCCTCCTCTCCAGACGCCTCGCCACGAACCCCAGAGCCCGAGGAGCCTTCATTGGTAATTTCAACTTCTTTGAATGAATTTCATTTCATGGCTCAATGTCAAAACTTTGGATGCAATCCTCATGGCAAGTTCACAGCAGACACAAGATAAGATTCTTCAAATGAACTGGGGAGCAAAAAGAGTGGCTTTGCTGTTAAGATGTCAGTGATTGGTCATGCTTTAGATACACTCCATACTTGTCTCAGTGAGTTGGTTGTAAGTGCAAACAGACCCGTGGACAAGTCATAATGGGATTATTGTGTTGGCTACGTTGGCGTTAATTACATACCAGTGAAACTGTGGCTGCAAGTCAGTGGAGTTACCATCATGTTGTAGAAGTGGATCAGGATGGGTTATTCTGTGTCTGAGGCGACAGTCATTACAAATAAGGAAACACCAAAGGTCGATGTAGGGTGCTCATTGGAATACTGTCGTGATTGCTTCGCATAGCATTCTTGTTCATGAGGACTACGTGGGCTTATTTCACTTTTTTCCATTTCTCATGATTCCAGCTGGTTATAAGTCTTTAACTCGGACACCCCACGGGCTGCTTGGGTGAAATACTTCCATTGAGCTTTTGTTGAGCCATCATTTTGTAATTATTTAAACTGAATAAAAAAATGTCCTATATAATAAGGCTGCTCCACCGGTCTCTGGATGCTAACCACCTCTAAAGGAGAAAGATTTGCTCCAAATAAGAACAGAGTTTATGGTGGCGTGTAAGTACTAGGGTCTTTAATCATTTAGGTTTAGGACCTGATACCAGTCCAAACCATGGGCCATAGAATATAGGTAGGTAAAGTCTCAGCTTTCTTCTTTTTCTTGTTTGTAAAGTGAAGCTAAATCACCCACATCACCCCGCTTCTCCTCCAGCTTCACTGGCTGCCAGTCAACTTCAGGGTTCATTTCAAGATCCTGGTTCTGGTCTTTAGGGCCTTAAGTTTGGTTTATGCTTGACGCGTCCGCGAGGTCCGCACGGCTCCGCGTGGCGAAATTGCGTTATTTTAACAACCACGCCCCTCCACCGCGTGTCCGCACGGCCCAAAATTTCCGCAACGCGCACCTCGGAAAATTTCTAACCACGCGGACGGACGGACGCAGAAAAACATGGCGGACCGGCAAGAACTAATATGGCAAAGGTTCGTAAATACAGACATTTGTATGATTCAGCCCTCAAAGATCGCCGTGATAAACATGTTGTTAATAATTCTTGGAGAGAAATAGCTCGCACTGTCGGAAAAGACGAGGACGCTGTTAAAAATGCTGGAATGCCATGTTGTAAACAGTAATTTCTACTTCTACTATGGTGTAGTGTTGGATGCATGCCGTAGAGCTCCATGCTGCCCCGTTCAGTTTGGGAGAATATTGGCTCACCGCAGAGACAAGCCGCACGAACCATAAACGCTGCGAGTTGTGAAGCGCCATCCACGAGCCGCATCACCAAGCGGAAAGTAAATGCGTCAAGCATAAACCAAGCTTTATATGGACAAACACCATCTTACATTGGTGATCTTCTCAGTCCCTACACCCCCAGCAAGTTCCTGAGGTCATGTGATCAAAACTTGCTCTATACCCATTATATCCAAATGAGTCAGAATTTATACCAAAGCTACAGCTAATTAAAGCTTGTTATGAATCCAATTTCAGAAACAGCAATGTGGTATCCACAGATGTGCCTGCTTGTTAACGTGCTAATAGTTTTCAGGCATAGCTGATCACTTATGTTTTAAAGGCAGGTTTTGGCTCAATTAACCAGCCACTTATTGACCTTACTCTCTTGTGATGAGGCAAACCAGTTTTGCTACAAGCCCAGAAGAAAAAGATTTTCTATGATAAAAGTGTGTCTCAGCTGATCTTTATTTGTTAATTAGAAAAAAATAAAAGTAATTTTAAAAAGAGACAATTTATTGCAGGGGTGTTCAACTAAATTTGTTCAAGAGCCAAAGTTTTTTCCAGCAGACACCGTGAGGGCCAGATGCTCTTCATTTATTAATATTTAAACGGCTTTGTTTTCCATGTGAACTGTTTTGATTGTAGTTTGATGTGTTTGGAGAACGTAAACAATTATTGATATTTGGGACCAGAATTTTGCTGCTAAACTTCGAATTCCCCCAGTTGGGGGGTGCGTTAGGGCCCAGAGGGTTGGGGGGCCGGGCTGCCAGTTGAGGTTCACTGCTGCATTGTAAACAGCCCTGGAATTACACATGTAATTCTGGGGAAGCCCACTGGAAATCGTCTGTCCGATTAGATTAGAATGCCGTGGAGGGTAGGGGTGGTCATTTCTCGGGCTCCGTATGGGTAGGTCAGTTGAAGGTTTCTGGGGGAACCCATCACCCTTTCGGAGGAGCCGTGCTAATTCTTAACCACTCATGTGTCTGTGATGTCATCTGTACTCGTGGTGTACTGTACTACATAATAGCAGCTTTAGGTGCTCTGACCACGTTATAATCTGTCCTATTCCATGCTGGTTCTTTTCCAAATGACCTTTAGGAAAATGCCTGACTGTGTTTATTCAATCACATAGATAAACAACGACTGTGTGTATACAACAACGCCTGTGCAAAAAGCAGAAAAAAGCTGTTATGTATCAATCTACAATCTGCCTACACCTGTCTCATACCTGCCATAGATGATAACATGCTTTATCTGTAGTATCAGTTTAATCATTGCACACTTATGAAGTGCAGGCCGTGTAATTGAAAGGCAACGGTCATTTGCATAACTTACGCTTCTCCTTCTGTCCCTCTTCTTCCTCCTCTCCACCTTTCCGAATCTGTTTGGGTCCATTTGCAGCTGAAGAAGCTCCTTCTGGCGCCTGCAAACTCCCAGCTCAGCTATAATCAATACACAGGTGGCAAAGCACAGAACCATGCAGCCAGCAGCAACCACCGGATCAGACCACCACCTGCCGTCGTCAAGGTGGGGACACACACACACACACACTCGCACACTGCTTTTTTCAGTCTTGTCTGCACATTTTTATGTTTCTGTTTGTTTGTCTCCCTCTCTCTGCTCCCTCCCTTCTTGTCACATATTTTTGTTTTGGTGGCCGCTTTAGAAGATGTTAGCCTACTGCTTTAGCAGTCGACGATCCCGGGAGGCTGTCTTGTAATGAAAACAGGCTGATTGCTGTTGGGCTTTGCAGGAGAGGCATCAGCACTGTTGTCTCATTAGCTCCAACACTCACACGCCTTGGTGTGCTGCGTGTTTGGAAAAAAAAAACAGAAAGAATGGAAAAAAAACAGAACGACAGGCACTCTCGCAAGAAGAAAGGTGTCTAAAGATGATAATATCAAAATATCTGAACTATTGTTTTCATAAGAGTAATTTGGTTAATTATTGTTTACTTTTAACCAGTCAACAAGTGAAATAAATATTTAAGTTTTTCCCTTTTATCCATTGAGTCTTCATATGGCCTTGATATGCTTAAGTTTGGCAAAGGTTTGCTTTTGCTCTGCTTTCTGAGAGCTTTAAATCATACCAAAAAACATCTGTATGTGTGCAGAATGTTCGGTAAACAATTCAATTCAATTCAAATTCAAAAATACTTTATTAATCCCAGAGGGAAATTGATTCAACACAGGACAGACAGACTTGTGGGTGATCTGCGTTACTATGTTTGCACATTCAGTGAGTCAACCTTCCCTTTTGAGTCTATTTTCATACTATGCCTTTGAGTCATCCATTTCTGGAGCAAAGCGAAGGAGGACTCCCGTAGGACACGGTGTGCATACAGAGTGGCATGGTGCTGCTTCGAAATGGGGGTGCACGCAATTAGGATGATGGGCAGAAAGCCCTCCCACCATCACCTCCCAGACACATGGGCGACTACGGTGCTCAGACCATCAGAGTCCATCTTTTAGCTTCGCTCTGGCTCCATCTTTTTACTTCCATTCCTTTGCCACACTATGAAGTTTGGATGCACAGGAGTAACAACTTGGGGTGTAATCATACTGAATCATCACGGTACACATGTCTGGGTCTGATGCATGCAATCCAGTGGGAAAAAAAAGGTTAGTCTCAGGTGATCACCACTCTCGTTTAGAAGATGGTGCATATGTGCTTTTAATAACTATTTAATAACTGCCATGACAGGAAATGAGCAGGATAGACTGTCTGAAGTACTCTAGATCAGATGACATGCAAGAGCTTGGAGGCCTTCCTGTTGGTTTCAGAAGTTGGACATTCCCACTGATCTGTTAATAAAGCGTAGACTGAGTGGTGAAAGTATGGAAAACCAAAAGTGCCATTTCCAAAAGGGCTTGCACACTAAAAGCAGCAAAGCTGACACTGTTAGAGGGAATCACACATGGCCAAAGCTCTAGCTGAACTCTGAGCAGGTTATTTTTCATTTAAAATACAAGAAAAAAAATAAGATTTTGTTGTTGTTTTTTTTTTTTCTATTTGTACAAAACCCATATTGAACTGGGACCCCGACGCTGACGTGGGTACTGAACTGTGTTATGTTTGCTGTTACGTGAAAAACAACTTGAATTCAAGCCAACCAAACAATTTTCTGTTTTGCCCAGATGGAGAGCCCCTGGAACAGCAAGGCAAGAGGGGGCTCCAGTCAACAGAACCGCCCGGTGAGGCGGCCCTGCACAGAGCTGCTGAAATACCTAACGGCCACCGATGACATCCTGCTCAACGCCAAAGCCAGTGAAGCCAAGAGCGCCTGGGGGGGTTCCAGTAGCAGGGACAAGAGTGGCCTTGGTCTCTGTCCTTCCTCCTCCTCGTCGCCATCCTCATCGTCCACCTCCTCGTTCTCCTCCCTGTCCTCCACCTCCTCCTCCTCCTCTTCCTCCACCACCTCCAAGAAGAAGTCAGCATCTCAACAGCAGCAGCAATCGCCGCAGCAGCATCACCAGCGAGGTGAGAGCCGGGCTGCAGGCGAGTGTAGTATGGCTGGTCATGGGGAAGGGAAGTGGCAGCGTTGCTCTCAGGATGGCGGGGTTAAGGAGTCGGAGGGTGCCTCTGTCCCTGTTGGCCGTAGAACCTACGCCTGCGGTCACGCCCGCCCCAAACCACAACACGGGCCAGCCAGTGAAGAAGGAAGGCCGCCAGGCGATGTCGGTGGCCTGGCTGCCGCTAGGTTCATTAGGTATATGCATTCTTATTCCCTCCCTCCCCGAGAGGCGAGTCACAGCTGTGAGCATTGCCGAGAGGCTGCAGGCGCCACTCGGGCGAGTGAAGGCTTTGGCAGACAAGGCCGCAGTAACAGCAGCGGTGCCGGCCGTGCACCGCGCAGACATATCACAGTGACCATTAAGAAAAGAGACGATAAGCCGGGGCACCCTTTACTCAGTCAGCTGCTCACCTCTAAACAGAGGCCCACTCGATTTCGGGCCCAACTACCCCAACCCACAGTTAACCCTTTATGCAGCACTAAGAGAATATCAGCTGGTAGGAGTTCTGAGAGGCCAACCAGTGTTTTTTCAAAGGTGGAACTGAAGGAGATCAGAGGGACTACTGATCATAAAAACCAGGCGGCAGAGCCTGAATCAGAACTCCTGTTTTCACCTTTTACCAATCTAGGGGGCTGGGCAAGCCAGGTAGAGCAAGATCTAGACACAGGCTTTGGACTAGAGGTGGGGTGTCTAAACCGGAAAGGTAATGGGGACATTGTTGAACAAGATGTTGATGGTGTTGTTGATGATGATGACCATGTCATGGGCAGCCCTGCAGCGGTGCTCTCACTGGGCCGACCGAGCCCGCTCATCCCAGAAACTAGCATTGCAGAACCCACCCCTCCCTGCATCACACAGGGGCAAGGGCGGCCACACAGACAGGCCCTCAGCGAGCACCCCGATGACCAGGGCCACCTGTTGTTAGGTAATCCTGACTGCATCCCCCCCACCAAACACTGGCCTTCTCTCTGCTCTTTCTTCTCCCTCTGCTGCTCTACCGCTTCCAAGTTTGATTTCACAACTAACCTATAATCTAACTGAATCTAACTCATCCCGAGGACACAAACACCAATGACCGCAAACCGCCTGCTCGCCAAAAGCTTTTTGTTGTTGTTGCCAGTTAAAATCTAAAAAGTGGATCTTAGGGGGAAAAAATAAAGACGGGAGTGGAAAGAGGGGGTGAGCCTTGTCTTGCCGCTATCACATCCTGTGATGACAAATTAGATTCTTGAAACCTCTTTGGCTGATTGAGCTGAACGTGCTGAATATGTAGAAATAGACATCGAGCCCGGGTGCTGCTCTTTAGCATTGTGCTTCCAAAGCCGCATTCTCTCAGCTGGAGCACAAGTCGGCCAAAGCCTCGGGCAACTGCACAAGCTTCTTTGACTCTCCTTTCTTCCTTCTTTCCCCCCCTTCTCCTGCTGTTGGTGCATGCCATCATGACTTTTTCTGTGTAGGGAGGGGCTCACCCACTGTCACGTGTTTTGTCTGTAGCATTTGTCTCTTGTGTTTTTGTTCCATGATGATCTGTTTGTTGTCTAGCGCGGTGCTTTGTGTGTAGACACCTGTGAAACCATCAATCCATCCTGCCTCACAAAGTAAACTATAGATCCTAGCAGAGTAATTTGTTAAAATGGGGTCAATTAATTTTTAAGTGTGAGCAAAAAAAGAAAACATTAAAGCAGTGATGGGTGTTTTTTTAATAATCTTCATATTTTCTGATCCAATTTGGGATTAAATGTTGCAGAATGTGGACCTTTTCTCGTCTGCTATGAGTGCTAGATCAATAATTACCCATGCTCCTTTGTGTTCTGCAGCCAAACCAACCACCTTGCCACTTCCTTTGACCCCAGAGTCTCCAAAGTAAGTGCAAGAAGTTTTTCCACATTATTCTAGGCACAAAAATAAAAACAAAGCAGCGACAAACTAAAGCAAATCGAAAGGCCTTTAGAGTTCAAAACAAACTTTTATCAACTAGAATCACAGTTGAGGCATTTTTGTGGCTCATTTCCATTTTCTTTATTTCATAAAAGTATCAAAGGTCTTTATTTTAAGAATTAGAATCAAGTCTTCTTTTTTTCTGTCTTCCAGTGACCACAAAGGATCACCATTTGAGAACAAAACCATTGAACGCACACTAAGTGTGGAGATTGCTGGAACCCCAGGTGAGCTCAACTTTCTGGCTGTTTAAACTAAAACCTACATGCACCGCTGATACTCACGTGTATCTGGAAGGTTTTATGGTAGGCTTCCCAGTGTCTTGTTAAAGCTGCAAAACAAACTAGCTTTTACACACAAACGTGGGTGGGCAATTGTCTATCATCCCTGGGGCACGTCCACCTTATGCAACCCGCATTACTAGAGACATCGCTAAACACCAGTCGCCGTTTTCTACATCCAAACGTCTTTTTGTTGTCCAAGACTTCAAAAGGTGTTTTTTCTTTTTGAGACTCTGGTAGTTTGTCCTAAAGTTGAAGTGGTCTCAGCCGGCTATTTCTCCTTCTCTGGTATTATTGAGCGGAGAACCTCTCACCAGTGGTGTTCTGTTGCTAAATCCGTGAGTGTGTAGTGAGTGGAGGACCCAGGGAAGTGTGGCGGTTCAGTGAGACAGACAACCGGGTGGTCCGATAGTTGTTTTTGGTCCAAGAAAATCACTTCTTTTTTTAATCTCCACAACATATATATGGCTTTACTATATCAAAATGTTAAGAGGCATGTAAATAAATTTTAAGTTGGCTTGTTTGGCAGATTTGCTGTTTTAGCTTCAACTTTTCTGCACTTTAAAGGTCAAGTCAGACACCAAGCAGATAGATTTTACATGCTTGAATATTGATTTGGACTAATTAGCACATCTATCCTTTTTAATCTTCTATAATAAAGCAAAACTTTTCTATGAAATCCTGTTGTTTTTAGAAGTTTACATACATATGGCATATAGTTTAAAAAGAGAAAAAAGCTAAAGCTCTAACTCTACTTACATTTGTTATTTTTGTTTGCCAATGTTGACCACCTGTGGTAGCCATCTTTAATCATGTTGAGATGACTCTTGTCGTGATTTGGCGCTATATAAATAAACTTGAATTGATTTGAATTGATGGCAAAAGTGATTATTTGTAGATTTATTTCTGAGATTTTCATTTAATCCAGTTTAGTGAGAAATTTAGTGAGACATGATATGTTTTGCTAAAACTAGAGAAACACACGGGCACAGACATTGACTGCGTTTACATGCAGCCAATATCCGGGTTATGATCGGGTTAAGGTCAGTATTCGGGTTTCTGAGTTGATCAGAATAACCCGTTTACAAGTATAAATAGAAAGAGTTACCTCTAACTTGCATAACCCGATTTAGATGCGGACGTTGGGGTAGTGTCAGGACATATGGACTACGTCCAGACGCAATATGCATCATTTCCGGTTCTTCTTGTTCTGGTATTCATGAAAACAACAACATGTTTCCCAGTTCGGAAGAGATAGCGACCGCGTTTGTTTGTGCTTTAGTTTCCTCGTCACTCAAAGTGTGGTGCTGTGCCGCGACTCGCCATGTTGCTCCCAACTTGTTGTTTACTTACGATGTTCTGGCGCATACAAGACGTCTCGCTACTCAAAAGACCAAGATTCCTTGCGAACAGAGCATGCACAGAACACACGCTTTGATGGGGATATCCCGATATGCGTTTACACGACCAAACATTCGGGTTAGACAAGGGTTACCCCAAGTGTAGTAACCGGGTTTTTAAAAACCCGGTTATGAGCATATCCGGGTTTCTGGCGGTGTTTACACGGACCTGCGGAACCGGGTTATTGTGAATATTCGGGTTTTAAAAGGGTTACTGGCTGCATGTAAACGCACTGAGAATCATCTTCCTTTCAGTGGTAAATGTAGAATACCCAAGTTTACTATGTAAAGCTTATTCAACTGCTACTTCACAGCATTTATCATTTTGCAGGCAGCTTTCCTGAGAGCAGTTTTTTTATATGTTTGGTGTTTTTTTTACGAATGGTGCCACAAACTTAAAAGGAAAACCAAATATGAACAGTGCTAAAGGGAGGCATCCATTTCTTTATCTGATTATAATTTTTAAGTACACATTTATTTATAATTAATCATCCAAGGGAATAACAATACACTGGCTGCCCTTTGGCCTCTCAAACTGGTCCTTTTGGGTATTCATTTACCAGTGATCCTTGTATTTACCTCCTGTCTGCTCCCTTGCACCCTCTACTTATGAGGGTTGGAAATCCAAACCCCCAGAGGCACCCTCTTTGTTCCGACTGGTTGAAGTGTTGTTTAACCCCTCCTGTGTAGATAAGCTTTCAGGGTCAAACTGGATGCCTGTTGAGACCTTTAAAAAAAAAGGAAAAGATCAGTACCCTGTAAGCTCTTGGGGCAATTGAGCTCTGTTAATATTTCCTCTTGCCTTACTGCACGTGGGCAAATCTGCTCACCTGTGGCCAAATCTGAACATTTGTTCTGCGTCCATTTCACTGGCTCGGTCAAATAAAGCCCTTTACCTGACTTTTCCCAATCTGTGCAATTTTTTGGATTGAATATTAGCAGAAAAGTCATTAGTCTGCAAAGCTTAGCATTGCTGAGCCCCCGTTCGTAGTAAGAGATTAGCTTTTTGGAGCTCCTGCTGTATGAGACAGATGGATATGGATCCCGGTGAGCTCTGGTGTAAGCTGTTACACGTCCTTTGCAGATTTAGAGTAACATTCCAGCACAATAGAGATAATGGTGGTGTTACAGATAATCAGAGGAAGGTTGGTTGAGTGTGCGGCTCTGATTTCATGACATGCACAACCAATACAATATGACAAACCAAATAAATGGAAGGTTTGCAGCCTCTTTGTTTTCTTGACCGTTCTCAGAGAGGTATTGTAAAGGCTCGAGAAGGCGGTGAGGCCCCTTGGGATGTGACTGTTCAGGTCTAATCTCTGCCAAGCTAATAGATTTACTCCGTACTGCTGTGTTGTCTTTAATTACTGTATCTCATGACACAGAGGTGGTCTGTGTGTTGCTATTTGCATAGCTTACTGCAGGATCAACCCCTTAAGCCTGGAGTTGTTATTCGCTCTGTGGTCTCCCTGCGATTTACAGCTGGAACGAAACAACTGTCTCTCTCTCTCTCACTCACACGCTTGCTCGCTCTGCCATTTTCTCACCAGCGTCTGCCTGATCGGTGTTTGTGTCGGCAAATCATCCATCAGTGGCAAGTTTGACTGAGAGGCACATATTTATCTAACTGTGATTTATTTCACCGCCATTCCTAATGGCTCCTAGTTTATGATCCCATGCGCAAATGGTTTCGGACAGATGGCGCTTCATTGATGAAGCTGAGGTTTTGTTTTGTTATTTCAGCCATTGTCTAACATTTACTTTCCCCCGTCCTCCTACCTCCAATTGTAATTGGCATAATGCATATATACAGTGTCACCATCAGCTGTGGGAGATAAAAGAGACTGATGGGGAAAAGAGGGTGGTGGTGGGGGGTAAGTTAGGTGCTTGCAGTCCTCTGAGTCACATTAAGACAGTGACTATCCTGATATCCATTAGATCATGCATCCTAAACAAGTAACTTCAAACGCAAACACATTCGTGTGTCAGCCCCTCGCACTTTTTTTGCCAGGTTTTCTCACTGGTGCGTACTCCAGCATCGGATTTGATACTAATAGCTGTCATTTGGTGGAATTCAATGGCAGAAGGAGGAAGGGGGGCATGATGTGAATTATAGGAATGGCAAAGAAGAAGGGGAGAGCGTAGGTGTTCAAAGTGCTTGAGCTTTACTTCAGCGAAAGACTGTTTGGTGACAAGTGTGCCTTTGTGTGTGGGCACATTTGTTCTGCGTGACACGGAAATGGGAAGAGATGAAGATTGACAGAGAGGTGGGGGGAAATGGGAGATTGATCCAGGGAAGATGGCAGACAGGGAAGGAGAGAAAGGGGTTTACTGAAGAAAGGAAGAGAATAAAAAAATAGAGGTGGGAAGACAGAGTGAAAGTAATGGTGGCATTTGTTTGTGTGAGTGCAGTAACAAAGCTATAAAGTGGGCTCATCTCAGGACTTACCATATAACTGCCATCTGTCTGGTTGTAAATCTGTAGAAGGCGAGGGAAGAGATTGGGGCGTGCAGGCGGTGAAGACATCTGAGAAGAATGTCAACCCAAACACCAGCTCTTATAATGCTTCAATGAAATGGCAAACATCTTGCCGTAACAACATCCGTAGGAATGCCGAAACGTGCCGAGATACTTTTGACATTCATCGTCCTCTAACGGCGTTGCACGGAAAATGCACATAACGGAATTATCTTGAAACAACCCATAATGTCATTTTAGTGAGTGTTCTACATATAACATTTGTTTGAGGCGTGAAAAATATCTGATACATTTGGTTAATTTTTTACTTTTTATCAGATGCCTTTCCCTTTCTCCCCCTGCTGACTTTTTTTCCCTTGAAAATGGATCTTTTCAAGGTCAGAAAGGAGGAGAATAGCAAGCCATCCGTATTACAGCGCTGCCATATTAAGTTACACCAAGCATTACATTAATCTGTCAAGATTGCAATAAAATAGGATTAGGCCAAGTGAAAGTGAATATTTTAATCAGGCATGTATCTGTGTCCGCTGTCCATATACTGACGGGGTTTATAGATGGGCGAGGGAGGACTGGGAGGAGAAGGTTACTTGGTGAGGGTTGCAATATGAGTCTATTTTGCATTTTATTGCTCCCACCCAACCTCTGTCTCTTCCTCCTCCTGTGCAGGTCTGACACCACCTACCACGCCCCCACACAAAGCCAGTCAAGAGAATCCTTTCAAAGCATCTCTGAAAACTAAGTTGTCCCCATGTTCCTCCTCGGCCTTGACATGCAAAAGAGCCAGGCTGAGTGAGTTGGGTGCCGGTGCTTTGGCTCCGGCCCCAGGTGCCTCAGCCGGAGGCCCCATCCGGAAGGGTCCCGAACAGACTGAGCTCTATGCGCAGCTGAGCAAAGCATCCACTGCCCTCCCCGACGCTATCACTCTAAAGGCAATGGGGGGTGGTCTTGAGGAGCATTGCAGCACTGGCAACAACAAGCGGGCGATTTCCTGTCGCCACAGTGATCATGATTATTGCCAGGCATCAGCTAATACCAAGAAGGATGGGGGTGCAGCACCTGTTTCCATGACTCCAGCAGTGGAAATGACATTCACCCCAGGTGCTACTGCTGCTTCTGTGGCCAATGCTGGCAAAGTGGAGAACAGGCATGTCGAATGTAAGGACTCAGCCATCTCAGCATCCTCTTCATCATCTTCTTGTTGTACATCGTCATCCTCACCTAGCCCTTTGACTAAGAAGCAGGATTTTGTCCCTGTGGATGGAGGAGCATACTGTGTCCGGGGCTCAGGGGAACCGACCCTTACACAAACCCCACAGATCCCCACACAAGGGGTAACCACTGTTAGGGACCAACCACAACTTTCTGCCTCCAGCCGGAAGCTTCTGTGCGACCAGGAAATCAGAGCAGAACTTAACAAGCACTTTGGTCCTCCCCTAAAAGCCCTCTATACCCAGAGTGGGCTGGAGAGAGATTCAAGCAGCAAACCAAACAAGCCTACGGCCCCGCAATCCTTTGAAGGGGGAGAGAAGGACTTTTCCTCCCAGAGGCTTTCTGGCTCCAGCTACCTGCATCCAGGGTTTGTGTCATTTCACGATGAGATCGAGTTGGAAAAGGGCCACGAGAGTTGCTTCATCTTTCCATGGGGGGGAACCCCTCTGGACCTACTCTTTGACTGCTCTCCCCGCTCTCCCTCCTGTTCCCCGCCATCCAGTTGCTCCCGTTCACGAGGCTCCGTCTCCCCACCTTCCTCCCTGCTCTTGTCACCCAGCAGGCCTTTCTGCTGGGCCAGCAGCGGGTCCCGCTCCCGCTCTCGTTCCCATTCTGGCTCCCGTAGCTCCTCGTCACGGCACCGCAGGCGCTCTCTGTCCAGCTCACCGGGCAGACGGCCTTCCTCCTGGTAAGCCCCCGTCTTTACTTTTCTTTCTTCCTCTGTGGGGATTCTCCTTTGGCATAAATCATTCCTTAACCCCTACCCCTAAAAATATTGTTTTTACTTTCAAACAATAGCTGGCCTCTCTTGATAGAGGCATTTACGTTCAATGACGCTCTTACGGATAGATTTTCCAATCATGGAGAAAGTGTCTGTTAGCAGGAAACAAACCATAAAGTGTAGAAAGCTAGCCTGCACACACTTGCCCTTTGGCTGCTCCCTAAACAAGGGATTTCAAGGTGGCAGTGGGACCAGCTTTAGAGCCTAACACAGGCCTGGATTGTTATGAAAGATAGATTAGACAATGTAGACCCTAAAGCCTCTTAAACAGGTCTTGATCTGGGTCTGTACTTCATCTTGGATGGTTGTACACATTCCCACGCACATATTTTCTAATTACTTCAGTGTCTTAAATAAAAGTGTCTGTTTTCTAACCCTGTCCCTACCCCTAACCCTTTCCCTCCCATTTCGATCCTAAAAACACAATTTTTGATACATAACCTCACTTAAATGGTTTGATCTTGACCTCATGGTGTTTTACACTTAAAAAGTCACATTCAGATTTCATCAGTTGGCTGAAAGCCACATTTATAAACAAAACAAACTAACAAACCCGAAAGTAGCTTCTGGCAGTAGACTTTTGAACAATATGCATTTTCATTTCTCTGCAGGAAGTTTCATCTGAGCGTTTCTCTAATAACACTTGTTCCCCTCTCACCCCCTTTGCTCCCTTTGCTTCTGTTTTGCTTTTCTTTGCTGAGACTATTGTTTTAAGTGGCAGCTGCTGTTTTAACTGAGTGCCAAGCCCTCCTCTTTTACATCCCCTGAGATAAAAGCCAAATCCAGTCTGTGGGAATGTGGTCTCAAAACTCCACTCCAAAAGGATCCTATCAATAAGACCCTCTGTGAGAACTACTTTTCCCATGCTTCCCTTTGATCAAATCCACGGAAGGTTTTCTTTTGGTTGCTTTTTTATTTTGTAGAAGAAGCGAACCAAACACTGCTCACTGAGAATGACGTGAATAAATTGAGTTTGTCACTAGCAGCTCATTGAGCTCCTCACAGTGTCGGACTCCACTGCAGTGACTCACTTTGTTTGCATGATTACTAAAAGGTCAGTTTACTCCACGGAGCCGATGGAATCACTTTATCTTGTTCGGGCCCTTGTTCTTTATTCTACACCAACTTGCTCGCAAATTATGCAGTAATAGTCTCAAGGCATTCGATCAAAATCTTGACACTGACAAGCTTTGTAGAAATACTGAATAGGCGTTGGTGTTTGCAAGAAAAGAAGCGAGTCATGCAGGAATCAGAATACAGCGTTTCAGCAGAGCAGTTCTCAATATTATTCTACTTGGTTTTGGCTTCACAGCATATAATTTTTTATTTCAAGAACTGGCACTGCTTTACTTCACTTAGCTTCCCAAAAACTTCTCTCTTTTTTCATTATTCAGGTCTTCCTTCTTCAGGAACACTTCAATAATTGAGCATCAGAAGCTCAAAGAGTCCAGACGTGAAAGCTCCACAGTCAGGCCACCAGGGTTTAAACTATTGACCACTTCCTCATACAACATAGATAGTTAGAGCATGCAGAAGCCAGCTCAGGTGTTTAAAAAGTTCTGGTGTAAATCATCAACATTTGCTGCAGTTGCATTGAAACTAGGAGGGAAGTTAGCACCTTTATTGGTTCTTGTGCAGATAAGGAAATACTGAAATAAAAGATGATATCTTTATTGAGATGGCATTGAAAAACTGTCTGGCTTTGTTGGTGTGTTTTTCTTACCAGGTCTCATCACAGCTCAGATGTGAACGCTTTTCGCTCCAGAATTCAAAAGAGCCCCCACCCTCGGTCTCGATCTCCTCTCAGCCGCAGGCCAAGGTAATTGTTTTAAATCAATTATTTAGCCTCCTGTTTAATATGCATTGTTAATCTCAGTAAAGTTCAGTGCTTCAGGTAAGGACAAATGTTTATTGTGTGCAAGTTCTTGACAAAAATTCCAAGATTACAATGGAAGCTTAGCAAAAAACCATCATGTGTTTTGCTAGTAACAGTCAGAAGGGTCAAACATCAGATGGTAGTTTGGATCTTTTTGAAGTTGGATTTTATGAAAAAGTTACATGGTCAGCCTCAGCAGCAGAAGCGGCTCGCAGGAAAAATAGAACCCGATCCTATCTTGAGCGATGCGGCGCCGCGCGGCGCGCCTCTTCTGGGATAGAATCGAAAACTGCCGCTTCGTTGCTGGTTTGAATCGCTCCCATAGACGATAATGGATTCTATTTGAGGCAGTGACGCTCTGCTGCTGTTCCACGCTGCTGATGCTTCCAGTGTTTAGGGGTGCTAAGCACCCACAAATTAAGGTAAACTTCACAGTCACTCTGGTTTCTCAGCACTCACATGTGCATCAGGAAACTGAACTATGGTCCTAAATATTGTCCATCAGTCTTGCTAAAAGCAAACAGGCTCTATTCGAGCTGAGACACTCAGGTAATGTGGTAGGAACCCGACTTCATCTACGTGCAAACGGATCAGTTGAGCCGATTTTGCTAACTTCTGAAAGTAAAGTGGTCTTCATGTCCACAAAGTAACACATGTCATATCATCAAACATTACAGTACGTTCTAAATAAGCTGTGCTGCAGCGTTGTTGCTGTCCATTCCTTTGGCCATTGTACTCGTCTTGTTTTAACTTTGTCTGCTTCGCTCCCGACAGAGTTTGTTTACTATTTGTGTTGCTATAAACTACCTGGAAGAATGTCAACATGAAAGGGCACATGTCACCACCTACTGTACTGGAGTGGAACAAACTTCATTTGAGAGTTTGGTTTTCTTACGTGCATGTAAACTAGGATAAAGACTCCCAGCTTATTACTTAAGATTGACCTAGATAGACATAGATGTGTGTGTAAACACACTGTCTGTTCAAGTGGGGGGGTGTATTTTAGGAGCACCAGCATCCTTAAAAATTGGGCTATGAAATTTTAAACATTTTGCAGAAGTTTGTGCAACATATTTTTAAAATGTTTACATCGCTGACAATAAGACAATCCTGCATGGAAGGCCCCAGGCTGTACAAGAAGTGCATGCTAGCTGCATGTGAGGAGCCTAAGTCACGCCCATCTACTTTCAGACAATGGATCACATTTGTGATTTATAATTGTTTTATTTACAAATTTTTACAAGCTAAAAAAATCTCTATGTGGCAGAGACAGTCAAAGCTTAGCATGTTTGTAGTTTTCCATGAGCCACAGCAGACAGAACTGTTTCGTATGCAGAGAAATACTGGCACAGACTGACCCCATCTCAGCACTCCAAGCTGATTTGGCGCCCACGTGCCTAATGACACCCGACAAGCCCGAGAGTCGCTCATCAGTACAAAACTTAGTGGACATGCCTTGTGCTGGTCTAGGGCGGGGGTGCAGGGGGAGGAGAAAGCAGCACTTTCCTTCTTGATGAAGCCCTAACTAAGCAGAAAGTAATGACATGTGAAGTTGTGCTGACAACTGCAGCTGCCTGGGTCCCCAACTGCGCCGCTCGCCGGCACTCCCGCGGGCCTGTCCTGCAGGCGCCGCGTTCTTAGTAGCAGCAAAAAGACATCTTATTAACACGTCCATCTCCTTTACTCTGCAACCAGCTCCACAGCCATCAGTGGACCGGTCCTTGGTGGATACTTGCAATTGTTCTTCATAAGCATCGACAGCAGCGGCACATTCAAAGGGACGGGGGAGGACAGTGATCGATGTCGTACATATCTTTCCCTCCACAGGTATGACAGCTACGAGGAGTACCAGCACGAGAGGCTGAAGAGGGAGGAGTATCGCCGGGATTATGAGAAGCAGGAGTTTGAAAGGACCGAGCAGAGAGAGCAGCAAAGGCAAAAAGCAATAGTGAGTCAATTCAAGTTGCATTTCCTCTATCACTGCTTGGATGTTTTTTTTTTTTTACTTCTTTTTAGTTGTTTGACTTTCTTTCCATCCCCGTCGCTGATAAAAGAGCACATGTAATCAGTGATGTGGCACAGCCCACAGAAACCTCCCACAGATCACTAAGGATGAGACCGCCTCGAGCCCTGTGCCATGTGCCAGAGTGTTTCTCTACTGAGAGAATACATACAAAGTGAGTTCCTGAATGATTCAGGCGACAGGCCCTTCCTCTTTATCTCTGGGTTGTGTATTTTTAACATCTTTGTCGCCCGGAAACACTGTCGACTCGTATTAATCACACCAAGGGGGTAAAACGATAAAATAGCAGAAGAGGATTTTTTTTTACCCCAAAAAAGGGAAAAGGTCACAGATTTTTTTCTTTGTAAATCATTTATTTTGTGAATCTTTTGCAGAATTCAGCCAGATTCAGTGAAAATCACATTCCTTCCTTTATCTCCTTGTCTCAGTGGGAAATAATTCCAGTTTCCAGCAGGCTAGAGCTGCTCACCACCCGTTGATAAAACACACATTAAATGATACAGTAATGCAAGCTCGGCTCAGCGTGCATGCTTTTTCTCCCAGAGATGGAGAGGCAAACAATCATGAGCAGTCAAGCTCAAGCTGTCAAACAAGATTTGGGAGGACAGAGATGAGAAAGAGCCTTTTTTTTCTCTCTCTCTCTCGTTTCGGTTGTTCTGCTTTTAAAAACATAAAAAATAAAAAACTCATTCTCACACACACATATAAGCAGCCCTCAGGGTGCCATCAAGGAAAGACCACTTATTTATCACTTGTCAGCAACAAAACCTCTAATTCAGCAAAGACTTTTTCTAGTCTAAAATAGTACGTAAGCATAAAAGACGGTGGGAAAAGCGTAGCGGTAATCTGTAGTTAATTTGTGGCATTCTCAGCTGTAAACCAAGCAGACAAAGGTGAATTTTGAGCAGCTGATTTACATACATGTTACTGCCGTTCTCAAGACGGCTCCTGAAATTGCAGCAGGCCTCGATGGACATGCCGCAGCCACGGCGAGTAAATGAATGAATAAATAAATAACGTTGGCGATAGACCATGGCCTGAGGACTTAACTGTATTAGATGATTAGCAGATGCAATTAAGGTACTCAAAAGCCATAACTGCTGCCTTCTGCGGTTTGTTCCTAAGTTACTCCAACCTTACCCCCACCCGTCCTTTGAGTTTCATGGAAAATCTGTTTTTCTGCCTCGTAGCTCGACGCCGCTGCTTTTAGTGCTTCGTGTCTCCGATGTAAGTGTTCTTTTAATATTAACATGCCTTCTTGTTTAGCGCGCAGGGTCTCTCTGTATTTGGTCTAAAGGTGTGTGTGTGGGGCGGTGTTGTTAATCAGTGATATATGATTTAGTCTCTCCAAAGCTTCATTTTTAGACTTCACGAAAAAAGAAACAGTCACAAACTTGAGACGTGGCACCCTTCGATAAAAATCACACTGCCTCTGGTTGATGAGTTGCAGAGAGAAAGAGGAATTGTCGTGTCAAGGTAGATTGAAGGTGCTTCTGAACTGCTTCTTCATCAGATAAGAGGAAGCAAACGGAACCAATCACTGGTGAACACAAGCAGGGAGACACAAAGGAGAGGACCCAAAAAAAAAACACAAGGGCCCAAAGTCAGCAGCAGCAGTAACCACAGGAGTGATCAAGACCAATTCATTAAAGCCTGGTGAAGAGAGAGAGAGAGAGGGGAGACAGGGAAAACAAGCCTCCCCCTTTTAATCTCCGTTCCCGCCTCTGTCTTTTGTTTTAACGAGCAGGAGGAGAGACGGGTGGTGTACGTGGGGCGACTGAGGTCCGACTGCAGCCGAACAGAGCTGAAGCGCCGCTTTGAAGTCTTTGGGGAAATTGAAGAATGTGCAGTGAACTTAAGGGATGATGGGTAAGGCTGCAAGATTTGCATACTCGCAGCAGCCTGGCATTACCATGGCAACGTATCAGGGCCACGGAGGGCGGACATTTGTTTTCCAGTGTGGAGAAAAAAAGTCTAAATAGTATTTTGAGAATAAAGTAAAAATGTTGTTCATAACATCAAAGAGGTGACTATGAACATTTTTAATACTACAGGAATTATGTCAAAATAACAATAAAACCCGAATCATTTGTCCACATCGTGGCTTAAAGGTGTGGAACACTGAAAAACTATTTTTAATGATTATTTCTGGACTCACTCCTCTTGACTCACGACGGAGAAGGCTGTTGGTTTAGCGTCCAGAAAACAGCAGAGAACATCTCGCCTAGCAGAAGCTAACCGTTAGCAATAGCAACTCCACCACATAGCAGAACTCCTTCAGGCTTGTCTTACTTGTGGAGATAAAACAAAAATATTGAGAATCAGCAGTACAGTTGTGTTGCTGTTATCCAATCAAGGGTGAGAAGTACAAATGTAATACCAGTGTGTGTGTCCTCCAATACTACGAACAAGGCTCTACTAGAGACCACTGCAAAATGTACTGATTGAACGAGCCATTCATACAATTAAATGTTGAGTTTCAGGTTAGCTATGATGATGTTAAAACACAAAATAGGTCACGTTTTTCTGAAGAAATTCAACATGTCAGGAACACAAATTTAATGTGGAGATTAAAGGCTGTAATAACATGAAAATCTAGATTAAAATTCAAAACGGTAAGGATAAAATGTAAATGTTGATAATAAAATGTAAATGTTAAAATTAAAGTTGAAATGTCACCGTTAAGGTCAGCTGTAATAAAGCTGAACTTATAAACAGGTCAAAATGTCAAGAAAAAAAATCAAAAGTCATGGGTAAAGTCAAAATGTTGGGATTAGCTATACAGCAGTATAGTTACAAATACAGATTTACTAAAGTTAGATTTAAATCAGCTGCAATGTGGAGTCAGAACAGCAACGGTCAAACTGTCAACAATACAATCAAAATGTTAAAGATCTACGTAATCAGAGTGAAAACAGATAAACAGAGAAGGAAGTAAGGCCACCAACATTGACATGCTCTGAGGAAGACTACAGCGTTAGCTGAAACTTGTCGGCAAAAATGATAAAAACACATCTTTACTACGCTGTGTTTAAAAAAAACTAGATTTTTAAAGATCAAGTGCACCCATGTATTTAGTAAACTTGCGGTGGTCTCTAGTAGGTTGGGCGTTGTTCTCTGGGGGAAATAAGGCTCTGATGTGTGTGTTTGGTCATGTAGAAGTCACCTGGAGGAGAAAGTAGCTTCAGAGGCAGGATTTGGAGGCTTGTTTCCTGATATTTGCACATCTCACCGCTGATTGGCTAACAGCAACACGACTCTACCACTGACTCCAATTGCTGTGGGACGTTGATGTTTTATCTCCACAAATAACACACGCCTGGAGGAGTTCTGCTATGGAGTGGAGTTGCTAAGGCTAACAGGTATCTCCTACTAGCCAAGATGCTCTCTGGTGTTTCCAGGATGCTGCACCAACAACAACCTTCTTCTTCATGAGTCAAGATAGGTGAATCCATGAACATTAAGTGACAGTGTGATGTAGATCTGTCAGGATTTTCTGAACTGAGCGTTTTTCCGTTTTTTTTTTCAATCAGAAGCAGGGAATAGGGGTAGAAGACTATTTTCACATTCATCCTGCATGTTACACACAGTGAGACCATTATTTATTTATTTATTTATTTTTAAAGTTGGTAAAAAATTGTTTCAAATCAAATATGAAGATTAAAGTCAATCATCATTCTGTCAAAACAAACAGTGTATAAACTGGTTTTCTCGTTGAGGTCACTTTCGAGTAGCCCTTTTCCATCTTTTTTACGTTACTATTGGGAAGACGTGATGTTTAACTCTTAACAAAAACTAACCGCTTAATTACATTTGACAAAAATATTTTTTGCTGATCCATCCAAACTATAAGGCCAAAACAAATATCTGCAGTCCCAGAGACCTCCTGATTCATCTCCTTGTATACCGACAAGAGCCCTAAAGATACACCTCTATCGATTCTCTTTTGCATATAAATAGCGTGATTGTCATCTAAGACAAGGCCTTTCTGTTGAGTCATTGTTACCCCACAGCAACATGGTGACGTGTCCTTTTTCTATTTTTGACCAGGGACAATTTTGGCTTCATCGTGTACCGCTACACCTGTGACGCCTTTACCGCCCTTGAGAACGGACACACCTTACGCAGGTCAAATGAGCCTCAGTTTGACTTGTGTTTCGGTGGACAAAAGCAGCTCTGCAAATCGCATTACACAGACTTGGGTGAGTGCAGCTTCTGTTGTTCACTTTGTTGGCTGCTGTGCTGTGTATTTGAGTGCTAGGCATGGGTATGGGCAAAATAAGACGGTGAAAAGCCTTAAGTGGTGCCTCCAGATCAAAACATCCCCTTCTATGTGCACATAATAACTGAATGTCTCCATGAGGCATTTTGGTTTGAAATTGCAAAGCAAGGGCAAAGGTCGGTTTGTGAACGGGCCGAGGATGGAGCTCTTTTTCCTCCTTGCAAGCAGCCGCAGTCTCTTAGAAAAGAATGAGGCAGACTCCATTACTCATGTGGACATCGGATGCATGTTTCTTAGTATGGAAAACAAGACGTCAGAGGGCGAGACTGCACTTAAAAGCATCTGCGCCTCCATGTAAATGGAGTGTCTCTTATGTGGTGCTGTAAACACGTATGTGGGGATCCTTTCATGGGAACGAGGAGGTAAATTACCTGGAAGGAGATGAAGTAAAAAGGGGAGAAAAAGACGAAAGCTGACCACGAGTGCACACTACCTGCTGGCTAAATCTGCCTTTACGGAATTTATGAAACAGACTGCAACACAGCAGAATTCATCGGACTCCGGAGTAAACGTACACAAACACTCAAACAGGAATCTAACTGGAATGGATATAGCAGAAGGCTGAGTGATGCAGTTGATAAATAATGCAAGCAATCAGTGAAATCTGGGCTTTTTTTCTTCTTGCATGATGCCCCACTTTTGACATGCAGAGAAAATCAAGTACTTTCTTTTTCCCTGTGTTGTCTGCACGGTGCTTAAAGGAGGTGAGGTAGGCCCCATCATTCTGGGTTCTTGCACACCAACAAAAGATCATCTCATCCATTCGACGATGACACGTAAAATGGGTATTGACATTTTGGCAGCAATATGCAAGGTCAGAGATCTGAAGCGCACTACTACAGTATAAGAGGGTCAGTGGGTCATTTTAGAGAAAAAGAGTAGTTTTCTGAATAAATGATGCAGTTTCCGTACTTTACCCAAGCTCTTACGTCCAGCTACTAGCCTTCTTAAAGAGAAGACGAGACACAGAAACAGTTTCTTATCTTGAAGTCCTTGAGGAGAGACATTATACTGAGATTGACTAATCAGTCTACTGAAATGGAAGGACCTTCATTCAAGCACTTCTTTGTCAAGAACGGGCTGTTTTGGTTGCCTCCATATTGATAGCTCGGTATAAAGAGATTGAGAGGAGCATTTTCTAATACTTTGGTATCCAAACCATTCTTCATTTATTTTTTTTCTGAGACACTGTCCATTAGTTTTAAGTAGAGCACCTGGGTATTTTTCATCCCTCAAGGTGTGCAGCAAGACACAATACAGCCCTTGGCCAGTGCTTTAGATCACAACCGGCATCTCTTAGCTGCCACGGTCATTCCCATTTCTCAAAGCACGGGAAGTGTGCTGCTGGGCCCTGTAGGGGCCCCATTTGTGAAGCTGTCTGTTGGGTCAGATAAGATACTTTTTATGTATTATCGGGCTGATCGGGATAAACAGGACACAAAGGAGATGGACAGGGGGAAGGAAATGGTTTAGAAATGCTTGCCTTTGTCCAAGGTTCAACAGTTTCCACAATAAATTCAACGTGCATGCTATGATTAAGCATAGTAAATTCACTGTAGCGTGTGACTTTTCAGATAAACAAAAATAAATGTATGTTTTGTATCATTCGTTGCTGGTAGAAAGCATGAAACTCGACAATTATGCATCAAAAAGTCTAGGATTTATACAATACAAGATGATGCAATCTGCATGGGATGATAAAGCACAGTAAGGTATAATACGATAGCTGCAATTCTACATTACAGGTAAAAACTCCAAAATTAGAATATGGTGCAAAGCTCATTTATGTCACTAATTCAACATTAAAGGTGAAACTAACAAATCAGAGAGACTCACTACATGCAAAGCCAGATATTTCAACCTTTATTTGTTAAAATTGTGACTATGGCTTTCAGCTGGCGAAAATCACACATTCAAAATCTCATACAATTAGAATATTGTGAAAAGGTTCAATATTCTAGACTCAAAGTGTCACACTCTAATCAGCTAATGGATCCAGAACACCTGGAAAGGGTTCCTGAGCCTTTAGGTGGTCTCTCAGTCTAACATGAATCACTGATATAAATAGACTTTCACATCAAATTCAAATTTTTCCAGTTTCACCTGAATGTGATTTGATGAAATGTGACATGATGTGATACAGTTTGTTACTATTTGATACTATGATACAAAAACAAGTTCCACTTTTTTTTAACAGTGTGATGACACTATTTGTAACAAACCCATATTTTGCTTATCCCATTGTGTTCAAGCATCTTAAGAAATAAAGTTCAATAGCAATAAAATAAGCTATGATTTATTGCGGTTCAGGCAGGTTTTTTGCGATATTGACATAACTCGATATTGTAATAACTGTAAATTTGCAATGTTTTGTGCAGCCCTAGATGATCTGATGCAATGCAAGCCAATTTTATCCAATGCAATCGAAAACAATATATCTGATTTCATATAATATGATATTGAAAATCCTGTAAAACAATAAGATAAAATATGTTCCTGTGCTGGAAAACAATTGCAATGAACTTTGCTGTCCTAATAGCTGCCTTCACAATAAACAATTACCTAACGGACAGGCCTTTGTCCAGCTAAATAAAGAAATGCTCTTAAAGTTTTTCCCACAGTTTACTAAACAGTATGTAACTTCATTTGTATAAGCATACAAAAATGTCTTAGACTTTTCTTTCATATTTAAAGGAACTAGCTGTCTGCACTTGATGCAAGACGGCTAAACACAACTTGTAGTCATTGATTGACTATCCTAGTTACTGTTTACTGCAGCAGGCCAGACTCTGTAGGTCGGAGTGTGTGTGTGTGTGTGTGTGTGTGTGTGTGTGTGTGGGGGGGGGGGGGGGGGGGTATTCATAAAGTTGTGTATTAACTTGCAATTTAGTCAAGTTTTAATTTGATCGTTTATGAGTTTGTGGAAGTTCGGCATCGTTGCACTTCCTTTAGTCCTAAAGACAGAACTGTCTGGCCACACGGAGTAAGGGAAAAACATAACCTCATATCAGATTAAAGTGAAGCTACATCAGTGTTAAAACATATTCTTTGAGCTCTGGCCATAAAACTCCTCTGAGAATACCAAGGTGAAGCCTTTGTTTTCAAAGGAAGTCTGTTCTGCTCAACGTTAACCACAACCTTGCTTTTCCACCTTTAGACTCCCATTCAGACGACTTTGATCCAGCCTCCACGAAAAGCAAGTATGACTCCATGGATTTTGACAGCTTGCTGAGGGAGGCCCAGTGCAGCCTGAAAAGGTAACCGGTGCAGTGGCGTGCCCGCTGTCTGTCACAAGGAGGGACTTCTTATACCTCACTGTTGTTTCTCGCTCCTTCGACGAAGAGACTACTAGAAGTTTTACACTCTGTCAAAGAGTATCCAAGCATATAGACTTATATCAATATAAATGAATATATTCAAATTAAAGTTTACATGAAGATGGCTACTGAAGAGACTTTCCGAGGAAAGCCAGTGGACTCTCAGAAATTTGGTTTAATGCACTCTACAGCTGTTCAACCAGTCAACGAAGAAGGAAGTGTTTTTCTCCAAGCACTACAATGCCCACAGTTCTTTTTGGGTGAAAACATGCAGCTTGTTTAACCAGATTTGGGTTTTTTCCTGTTGTGATTTTTGTTTTGAAGTCTGGTGTTTGGATCTGGTGTTACGTTACAAACAAGAATATAGGGAATTGTAACTTGGAGGTAAAATGAATAATAATGAAGGTAATGTCGTTCTACATTTTAATAAAAAGAAAATGTAGCTGTGCATTTACAGATAATAAAAAAAATATTTTTATTTTAGTTTTGTTGTTGTTACAGCTATGCACTGTAAAACGCAGACTTTTCTAAAAAAAGAGAACATTTCTTAATTCAGAATGTTGATCTGTAGTAATTACAATACTGTAAAGCATATTGTACACCTACATGATGTTTGAAAGACATGACATGATTGTAAAAAAAAAACGGTTAAAAAAAGACAGCTCATTTTTTGCGGGAGCATGTAAACACATTTTTTTTTCAAGTTTTTTTGTTGAGGGATTAGGAAAACAACACCATGTATAGTTTTATCTGCTGATAATGTTTCTCGATCAGTGTTTTTGCTTATACAACAAGATGCATTTTTAAACATGTTTTTCATGATTGTATAAAAAGAGCCCATTTTTTAAACAATTCTTTATCACTGATTGTTTTCTTAAACTATATATTCATTTTATGTCCTGTGATTGCCATTAATGAGACAGAGCAACAACATTCAAAGCTTTCAAAATCAGACGTATTTATGTATTTATTTTAATATTTTAATCAAAAATATATATTTATGAACTCCATTTTTAACATGGCGTACCTCATGAAAAAAATGTTCCTATTTATTTTGTGACATTTGATTTTTGTGTTATTTAACTTGCAATCACTGGACAGGGTGTACAATAAATGGTTTGGTGTGGTCTAATATTACCTTCTATGCCTTCCAAAACAATCAAAACATTCAGCTGATCAGTCTAGACGTCAGGCTCTTCGTTTTTATTTGTTTTACTAATTTGTCTCAAATTTACAGTATCTACCTGGTATCCTTTTCCATTAACATACACAAAACATGAAGCAATAAAATAACTTTGCAAGAA